GTTGATGAAGCTCCGGGTAATAGTGATTAGGTACAAGCTGTTTCCGCATTAACATCTTCAACTCCTCCCAAGTATTTATAGGTTGTGCCCCAATCCTTTGCCTCATCGTCACCACTTGATCCCACCAAGTTATTGCATAGTTGGAGAACTCAAGAATCGTAATTTTCACCTTTTTCTCCCCTGAGTAATTGTGGCAGTCGAATATCAACTCAATCTTCTTCTCCCACTCTAAGTACGCCTCCGGATCACTCCTCCAATTGAAAGAATGAATGGTCATTTTAATATTTCCCAAATTACCATCCAACTCATCTCCACCAATATTCCTACCTCTCACACCTTAAATTAATCTTACCACTCTGCCTTTTACATCTCGTTGCTTTCACTACGTGCTTCAAAAAACAAATTGGAACTCAAAAAAGGAATTAGTCTCGTGAAACACAAACCAGATGCGAGTGAGATTACAAAACAAAGAAGGACTCGAATTTGGAAGATTTGAAATTCAAGAAAGTGGTTCTTGAATTGATTTGGACTAAGAAAGACAATTTAAGAAAACAAGGGATTAATTTGCAAATAAATTACAAAAAAATTGAACAGTATACGTGAATGGTACTTTTTTCGACTTCCTTTTACTTTTTCTACTTTTTTCTTTTTCTGCTACTGTACGATGAACAGTACAAATTCTTTTTTTTGGGACCCGAACTTTAACTACGACACCAACATAAGAAACAGAAGTTGCCTTGTCCAAAAATAACTTTTGAAGTTTTAGACAAAAAGAATTCAGATCAAGCACTCAAGAATTTTACTGGACAGAAGAACATGAAGAACGAAGAAAAACTAGAAACAAAGACTCGATAAGAATTTAAAAGGGATATAACCTTGAATTGGAGCCTAAGCTCTGATACCAACTGATGTGACACCGTGTAGCGCGATCACTGCCAAACCCACAACAAATTGAGAATCAAACCCAAGAAAGCCAAAGACAAGGTTTTGGATTAAAGCTAATAAACTAGAACCAAGCAACCTGAATTGCCAACAATATGCGGACCTCTTGATTACACAATTTAAATGAATCTCACCTAGTTGATTTGAATGTCACAATATTAATCTTGATAAGTTCACAAGTTGTTCAACGAAGAATGAGAGAAAGCAATTAATGCCTCACGAATAATATTCAATAATATCAGAGTTGTAATGTTTTACAATAAGGAATAAAGTATTTATACTTTCCTAGATATCCTAAGTAAACTAGGAAAAATATCTAAGAATAATGCAAAATTCGTTCACAATAGCCTAATTATGGTAAAAATCTACTAATAATGAAATTCTATTAAAATAATGAAAAAGACGCAAAATTTGGAAAAATTCGCCTCGGACTTGGCCTATGTGGCCGCATAGCTTTAGAGCATGTGGTCACATAGTGCAATTGGTCTACGACTTTGGGACTTCTACTAGGTGTATGCGATCGCAGGACTTTGAACCTGTGCGACAACATGGTTTAATGCTCCAGCTTTATTTTCTTCAGCTTTAAACATGTTGATCCAATACTCTTCGGCCTTCGTACCCAACATGAAACTTGCTCCATTTTGCATCCCGAACATTGTTTCATAGATCGTTACTTTGACGACCAATCCCATCACCTCTTTCACGTGCTTGGCCCTCGATCGCGTCATCAATCCCTTGACTATCAACGGATCTTTACTCGGGCTCGACTTTGGACTTGAATTTGGTACTTATGCTTCCTTGATCACATCACATTTCTAGGAAAATTTTAGGACACGGTGTGTAGGCCAATATCCTACACGTCTTGGCTGCAATAGGGACGCAACTTGATTGTCAGGCATTTCTAGGCAGTTTGTGGGCACAGTGTGCAGGCCATGTTCGGGATTTTCAGGTGTATCTAGGAAGTTTGTGGGCACGGTGTGCAGGCAATGTTCGGGATGCTTCCTGACCATGTTAGGGACATAAGCAGATTTTCAACCAAACAAAGAAAGCACGCTGTGGAGGCCATGTTAGGGGAGCTAGCACATTGCCAAGCATTCTGGACAGTTTCTGGGACATGGTGTGTAGGCCACATTCAGGACAAGTTATGGTCATGGCAGGGATGCAGCTTGATTTTCAGGCATTTTTTAACTATTTCTGGACACTGTGTATAGGCCATGTCAAGGACGTATCCTGACCGCAGCAGGGACTCAGCCTAATTTTTAGGCGTTTCTAGACAGTTCTGGGTTACGGTGTATAGGCCAAGTCCAGGACACTTCCGAGCCACGGTAGGGATGGGGCCTCATTTTCAGGCATTTCAGGGTAGTTTTTGGGCACGGTGTGCAGGCCATGTCTGGGACACGTCTTGAATGAAATAGGAACCCAACCTAATTTTCAAGCATTTGTAGGTAGTTTTTGGGACATGGTGTGAAGGCAATGTCCAGGATACAGTAGGGACACATCCTGATTTTCATGTATTTCTAGGTAGTTTCTGGAAAGCAATGTACGAGCCATGCCCAGGACGCTTCTGGACTGCGTCAGGGACGCAACTTGATTTCCAAACATTTCTAGGCAGTTTTTGGGACATGATGTACAGGTCATGTCCAGGACACGGCAGGGACATAGAATGATTTTCAGGCACTTCTGGCCAGAGTGTGCAAGCCATGTCCGAGAGGTGTCCTGGTCGCGGTAGGGACATAGCCTCATTTCCAGGCATTTCTAGAAAATTTGTGGGTATGGTGTGTAGGCAATGTTTGGGATGCTTCCCGTCCACGTTAGGGATGCAAGCAGATTTTCAACCAAATGAAGGAAGCAAGGTGTACAGGCTATGTCAAGGGCACAGGCACATTCCCAAGCATACTGGGCAGTTTCTAGGACACGGTGTGCAGGTCATGTCCGGGATACATCCTGGCCAGGTAAGGACGCAGCCTGATTTTCAGGCATTTCTAGGTAGTTTGTGGGTACGTTGTACAGACCTAGTCTAGGACGTATCCTGGCCGAAATAGAGATGCAGCCTAATTTTTAGGCATTACTAGGCAATTTCTAGGACTTGGTGTATAGGCCAAGTTTGGGACATGTCATGGCCACGATAGGGGCGCAGCCTGATTTCCAGGCAATTTCTAGGTTATAGGGTTTTTGGTTTTTTTTAATTAATTTAGAATTAAAAGTAGGAAATATATACATGACAAAGAATAATGAAAATAAAATGTACTTCAACGTTACAACCCATGAATAATAAAACTAGTCTACACAACAAAACCAAACTTTTTGTTGTCGTAGTGCCACAAATAAACCCCTCCACTGCCTTCAGAACAGTGCCGCCATTAGTCAGGGCTGGCATAGGTGCATGGTAGTGGTGATGGTGATGATGAATAGAAGGTGCCCATGTTGTAGATTGGTGGCCGGAGCGATGTGCAGGTAGTGTCCTAGACGCGTCAGGACTGCTGCAGGGATGCAGCCTGATTTTCAAACATTTCTAGGTAGTTTCTGCAACATGGTGTGCATGCCATGTCCAAGATGCGACAAAGACGCAACCGATTTTTAAGCATTTCTGGGCAGTTTTTGGGACACTATTGCAGGCCATGTCCAGAATGCGTTCAGGCCGCAGTAGGGACGTTGCCTAATTTTCTGGCATTTTTGGGCATGGTGTGCAGGCCATGCCCTAAACGCAGCCTGATTTTCTGGCATTTCTTGAAAATTTCTAGGACTCGGTGTGCAAGCCATGTTCGGGATGCTTCATGACCACGACAAGGACGGAGCCTGATTTTTAGGCAATTTTTGGCAATTCTGGGACATGGTGTGCAGGCCATCTCCAGGTTGCGATAGGGATGTATCCTGACTTTCAGTTATTTTTATGCAATTTCTGGAACACAATGTGCAAGCAATGTCAGGATCGCATCTGGGCCGCAACAGGGATAGGGCCTGGTTTCCAGGCATTTCTAGGCAGTTTTTGGGACACGATGTGCTGGCCATGTCCAGGATGCTGCAGGGACACATCTGATTTTCACGTTTTTCTAGTCAATTTCTTGGACACGAGGCAATTTTTGGGACACGGTGTGCAGGCCATGTGATTTTTAGGCATTTCTAGGCAGTTTCTGGGACACTATATGCAGGCCATGTCCGGGACACGCCCAGGCCACACCAAGGACGCAACCTGATTTTCAGGCATTTCTGAGAAGTTTTTGGGTACAGTGTGTAGGCCATGTCCTAGACGCAGCCTGATTTTCAGGTATTTCTTATCAGTTTCTAGGTCACGACGTGCATGTCATGTTCGTGACACGTCCGGGCCACAATAAGGACAGAGCCTGATTTTTAGGTAATTCTGGGCAGTTTTTGGGCATGGTATACAGGCCATGTCCGAGACGCCTCCTGGCCAGGCAGGGACGGGTCCTGATTTTTAGGCATTTCTGGGAAGTTTTTGGGCATGGTGTACCGGCCATGTTCTAGACGTAGCCTGATTTTCAAGCATTTTTCGTTAGTTTTTGCGTCACAGTGTGCAGGTCATGTCCAAGATGCGTCCGAGCCATGGCAACGACAGAGCCTGATTTTTAGGTAATTTTGGGCAATTTCTGGGTACGGTGAACAAGCCATGTCCGGGACGCATCCTAGCCTGGCAGGGACACAGCCTGATTTTCAAGCATTTTTAGGGAGATTTTGGGCACGGTGTGCGGACCATGTCCTAGACGCAGCTTGATTTTTAGGCATTTCTTATCAGTTTCTGGGTCACGATGTGCAGGCCATGTCCGGGACGCGTCCTGGCCAGGGTAGGGACGGAGCCTATTTTTAGGCAATTTCAGGCAGTTTTTGGGCACGATTTACCGGCCATGTTCGGGACGCCCCCTGGCCAGGTAGGGACACAGCCTGATTTTTAGGCATTTCTAGGCAGTTTGTGGGTATGGTGTGCTGGCCAAGTCCGAGATGCATCCTGATCGCGACAGGGACGCCTCCTGATTTTCAGGCATGTTTATGCAATTTTTGGGACTCGGTGTGCAGGCCAAGTCTGAGACACGTCATGGCCATGGCTAGGACATCGCCTGATTTTCTCTATCATTGTGTGATTTTATTAGATTAGCGTTGTCGTAGATTTTGTAGTCTTCCTCGTTCACTTCCAGCACTGAATGAGTCTTGGAATTATACTTCAGAACTAAAGAATCCCCAATTTAAAAATGAGTTTTCTTAGCCCATTTGTTGAACTAGTCAACAAAAGATGGAACTGCCCATAAATTATTTTCACAGCCCACTACGAACTCTCTTGCTTCAGAAAGAACACACAGGAAAAATATGATGGTCGAAAATAAGAAACTATTTTTGAGTGAAGCAATTTTAACACGGTGTGCAGGCAATGTCTGTGACGCGTCTGGGCCGTGGTAGGGATGCAACCTGATTTCTAGGCATTTCTAGGTAGTTTTTAGGATACGATGTGCAGGTCATGTCCAGGACGAGTCAGGGACATAACCGGATTTTCAGGTATTTCTAGGCAGTTTTCTGGGACATGGTGTGCAGGCCATGACTAGGACGCGTTCGGCCGCGACAATGACGTAACCAGATTTTCAGGCACTTCTGGGAAGTTTTTGGGCACTGTGTGCAAGCCACGTCCGGGACGCGTCCTAGTTGTCGTAGGGACGCAGCTTGATTTTCAAGCATTTGTAGGCAATTTCTGGGACTCGATATGCAGTCCATGTTCGGGCCTCGTCTGGGCCGCGGTAAGGATGCAGTCTAGTTTTCAGGCATTTCTAGGCAATTTTGGGGGCACGGTGCAGGCCATGTCCAGGATGCTACATGGACACATCCTAATTTTCACGTATTTCTACGCATTTTCTTGGACACGGTGTGCAGGCAATGTTCGGGATGTGTCGGGGCTACTGCAGGGATGCAGCCTGATTTCCAGGCATTAGTGGGTAGTTTCTGGGACACGGTGTACAGGCCATGTCCAGGATGTAGCAGGGACGCAGCCTGATTTTCAAGCATTTCTAGGCAGTTTCTGGGATACGGTGTGCAAGCCAAGTCCGGGATGCATTCAGGCCCCGACGGGGTTGCAGCCTGATTTTCGAGCATTTTTGAGAAGTTTTTGGGCACAGTGTGCAAGCCTTGTCCTAGACGCAACCTAATTTTCAGTCATTTCTTGTTAGCTTCTAGGTCACGGTGTGCAGGTCATGTCAAGGATGCGTTAGGGCCACAGCAGGGATGGAGCTTGATTTTCAGGAAATTATGGCTAGTTTTTGGGGACGGTGAATAGGCTATGTCCGGGACGCCTCCTGGCTAGGTAGGGATGCGGCCTGATTTCCAAGCATTTCTAGGCAGTTTGTGGACATGGTGTGTTGCCCAAGTTCGGGACGCATCCTAGCCGCGACAGAGACGCAGCATGATTTTCAGGCATTTCTAGGTAATTTCTGGGACTTGGTGTGCAGGCCAAGTTCGGGACGCGTCATGGCCACAGCAAGGATGCAGTCTAATTTTCAGGCATTTCTAGGTAGATTTTGGGTCATAGGGTTTAGGGTTTTTCGTCAACTAATTTTGAATTAAAAGCAGGAAATATATACGTGATAAAGAATAATAAACATAAAATGTAGCTCAATGTTACAACCCATGAATAATAAAATTAGTCTACACAACGAAACCAAACGTCCCACCGTCACAGTACCACAAATAAACCCCACTGCCACCTTTAAACCAGTAGCACTGTTAGTCGGGGCTGGCGCCGGTGTATGGTAGTGGTGACGGTGATGATGAGGAGAAGGTCCTGCGCGGCAGATTGGTTGCTGGAGCCATATTTATCGGACATAACCATAACCTCTAGCTTTTGACCCTTCTAGCAATGTTTTTCAGCTCTACTAATGAAGAAAAATAGACCTAATTTTTCTAGCGAAATTGTAGCTTCTCCACCATGGTGTGATTTTATTGGATTTGCGTTGTTGCAAATTTTGTAGTCTTCTTCGGTCACTTCCAGCACTGAGCTAGTCTTGGAATCATACTTCAGAACTAAAGAATCCCCAATTTGAAAATGAGTTTTCTCAGCCCATTTGTTAAACTCATCAACAGAAGATAGAACTGCACATAAATTATTTTCACCGTCTATTGCAAACTCTCTTGCTTCAGAACGAACACACAACAAAAACACGACGGCCAAAAATGAAAAAATAATTTTAAGTGAAGCCATTTTAACAGGGTGTGCAGGCAATATACGGGATGCGTTAGGGCCGCAGTAGGGATGCAACCTGATTTCCATGCATTTCTAGGCAGTTTCTTGGGCACAGTGTGCAGGCCATGTCCAGGACGCATCAAAGACACAGCCTCATTTTAAGGCATTTCTAGGCAGTTTTTGGGACACGGTGTGCAGGCCATGACCGGGATTCGTCCGGGCTACGACAAGGACGGAGCCTGATTTTCAGGCATTTTTGGCAAGTTTTTGGCCATGGTGTGTAGGCCACGTTCCGGATGCCTCCTAGCCGCGGTAGGGACACAGCCTGATTTTCAGACATTTGTAGGTAGTTTGTGGGCACGATGTGCCGGCCAAGTCTAGGACGTGTCCTGGCCGCGAAAGGGACGCATCCTAATTTTCAGGCATTTCTTGGCAAATTTTGGGACTCGGTGTGAAGTCCATGTCCGGGATGAGCCATGGCCATGATAGGGACGAAGCCTGATTTTCAAGTAATTTTAGGCAGTTTCTAGGGCACCGTGTGCAGGCCTTGTCTAGGATGCGACAGGGACGTATCTCGACTTCCATGTATTTCTAAGCTGTTTCTGGAACACGGTGTGCAGGCGATGTCTGGGACACGTCTAGGCCGCGACAGGGATGCAGCTTGGTTTTCAGGCATTTCTAGGCAATTTCTAGGACACTCTGTGTAGACCATGTCCAGAATGCTGCAGAGACACATCCTAATTTTCACATATTTCTATGCAATGTCTTAGATACGGTGTACAGGTAATGTTCGGGACACGTCAGGGCTACTGTATGGATGCAGCCTAATTTCCAAGCATTTGTAGTTAGTTTTTGGGACATGGTGTGTAGGCCATGTCCAGGACGTGGCAGGGACACGGGCCATGTCCAGGACACGTCATGGACATGGTGTGCAGGCAATGTGTCTACAAAATTTAAATACCATTCTTATAGCACCTTACAAGTTTGTGAGGCTTGACTTATTGCTAAAGGATTTATACAAAGGGGAGGGATCGAAATTGAGGACTTCATCATATTAATGTCTATAATTGAAGAATTGGTGCTAGAGTCTGCATGTTGCTGTTAACCCAATGTACCACGAATGAAGAAAATACATTGAGTTGGATTAACACACCGTACAAGAAAAAAAAATTGGGGAAATTGAGATAATATACAATGAAATGGGGCAACAAATAGTTGGTTATTTACTAAATCACTAGAATAAGTTGTTTTTCACTGACAACTTAGAAAATTTTGAGTTATTGACATTCACACTCCAACTTTAGGGAAGTATTGAAGGAAAGGAAATCACTTTATATTATGATCAAGGAATATATGCATAGTGCATAGCTGTGGTTTTGAATAATTGTGTGCAAGACATCCAGCAATTATGTCTTAAAGTAATTATAAGAATTGTTGTTATAAATGGCAATTTGTGAGAGAACACTTACTTTCAAAGCTACTGTTAACAAAAATACTTTTCTAGTAGAAGAGTGTTACATTTCGTTTTGACTCGGCTGCTGAGAAACCTGAACATAAAAATATAATAGATTATTAATATATTATTGGATGATAGCGAAAAAGCCATAATAATTAACAACATAATCGCTAAGACATACAATGAACCCTCTACAAATTCAAGAAATGAATTAGCATTCACATGACTATTTATAGTTTTTTCTTTTTTCTTTCTTTTTTTTTTATATGTTTAGCTAAAAAATTACTTAAAACAAACTTCTTCTGCTTGCAAAAATAAAGTCTAGCCAAACAAAATTTTTTTAACTAAAACATAAAATGGAAAATAGATACATACTGTGTTGAAAAGCAATGACAATAGTTGAAATCCCAGTAGGAAATGTGTCCTCATTTCTTACCCAGTGGCTGGTGAATCAACGCTTCTTCTTGAGCAGGAAATAAAATATCATTTCAAGTTAATTTGAATGTTATATTTTATACAACATTTAAAAAATAGAATACGAATATATTTTACTGACTAAAAAAATCCATGAAATAATTTTTCATAATTTTAAATCAAATGTAATCTTCTATTTTAAGAAATAGTATTTCAGAATGAAAAACCAAAATAATTTTCTATTTTAAACTTAAAATTGAAAATTCAAAGAGGAAACGGAATTAGCCCATGCTTAGTTCTCGGTTTCTGAATGTTGGAAATTAAACATGATTCATGAATAATGAAAAAAATTAAATTTGATACATGAATTAATTTATTTAATATTCATGCATTTATTTAAATCATGTATCCAAATGATTCTTTGTATCATATTATTCATAGTATGTAGGAAAAGTCATTAATTAGTCTATTAAGTTCATACAATGTATTTGGGATCTTTTGTACCTATAAAAGGCCTTGTGTTTGAGACATTTTATAAAGCCAAGCCATGGAATACAAATATTTTTTGAGAATTCTGTGAATTTTTCTATCTAGTCTTTAGGGTTATGGGTTTAGGGTTTTTTAGGGTTTGGGGTGTTTTTTTTTATTTTTATTTTTGGCAAATACCACTAGTGTGGCTTATTTTATAAAATAGGAAATAAGAATACACATAAAGGAGGGCGACATAAACCTGACCTCCTGTAAATGAAAAAAATTACAAATGTCTCAAATGAAGCGCAAATTATATTAAACCTCTGGGACTCGTCCTGACCGCGGTAGGGACAAAACCTTATTTTCAGGCATTTCTCTGCCATTTGTGGGTACAGTATGCAAGCAATGTTTGGGACACTTCCCGACCGCGCTAGGGACGCAAGCAGATTTTCAACCAAATGAAGGAAGCACGGTGTGCAGGTCATGTCAGGGGCACAAGCACTTTCCCAAGCATTTTGGGCTGTTTCTGGGACACGATGTACATGCCATATTCAGGATAAGTCATGCCCACGACAGAGACGCAACATGATTTTCAGGCATTTTAAGGTAGTTTCTAGGTTACGATGTGCAGGCCATGTCCAGGACGTGTCCGAGCCACAGGAGGGATAGAGCCTAATTTTCAAGCATTTCAGGGCAGTTTTTTGGCACGATGTTCAAGCCATGTCCGGGAAGCGTCCTAATCGCGGCAGAAATGCAACCTGACTTCCAGGCATGTCTAGACAGTTCTTGGGACATGTTGTGTAGGTAATGTCAGGATACGGCAGGGACGCCGCCTGATTTTTAGGCATTTATGGGCAGTTTTTGGGCACCATGTGATGGCCATGTCCGGGACGCTTCCTGTCGTGGCAGGGACGCAGCCTGATTTTCAGTTATTTCTAGGCAGTTTCTGGGTTACAGTGTGCAAGCCATGTCCAGGATGCTACAGGGACACATCCTAATTTTCACATATTTCTATACATTTTCTTAGACACAGTGTGAAGGCAATGTTCGGGAGGCGTCAGGGCTCTTGTAGGGATGCAGCCTGATCTCCAGGCATTTGTGGGTAGTTTCTGGGACACGATGTGCGGGCCATGTCCAGGATGTGGTAGGGACGCAACCTGATTTTCAAACATTTCTAGGCAGTTTCTGGGATACGGTGTGAAGGCCACATCCGGGATGCAATCAGGCCATGGCGGGGTCGCAGCCTGATTTTCAAGCATTTTTTAGAAGGTTTTGGGCACGGTGTGCAAGCCTTATCATAGACGCAGCCAGATTTTCAGGAATTTCTCATTAGTTTCTTGGTCATGGAGTGCAGGTCATGTCAAGGACGCGTTAGGGCCATGGCAGGGACGGAGTTTGATTTTCAGGTAATTTCGGGTAGTTTCGGGGGATGATGTACAGGCCATGTCCGGGATGTCTCCTGGCCAGGTAGGGACGCAGCCTCATTTTCAGGTATTTCTAGGTAGTTTGTGGACACGGTGTGTTGGCCGAGTTCAGGACGCATCCTGGCCGCAACAGAGACGCAGCTTGATTTTCAGGCATTTCTAGGTAATTTCTGGGACTTGGTGTCCAGGCCAAGTTCGGGACGCGTCATAGCCACGACAGGGACGAAGTCTAATTTTCAGGCATTTCTAGGCAGATTCTAGGTCATAGGGTTTAGGGTTTTTCTTCAATTAATTTTGAATTAAAAGCAAGAAATATAGACGTGACAAAGAATAATAAAAATAAAATGTAGCTCAATCTTACAACCAAGAATAATAAAATTAGTCTACACAATGAAACCAAACTTTCCACCGTCGCAGTGACATAAATAAATCCCACCGCCGCCTTTAGACCAGTACCACCATTAGTTGGGGCTGGCCCCGGTGCATGGTAGTGGTGACGGTGATGATGAAGAGAAGGTGCCTGCGCTGTAGATTGGTGGCTAGACCCATGTTTATTGGACAGAACCATAACCTCAAGCTTTTGACCCTTCTAGCAATTTTCTTTAGCTCCACTGGTGAAGAAAAATAGACCTGATTTTTCTAGTGAAATTGTAGTTTCTCCATCATGGTGTGATTTTATTGGATTGGTGTTGTTGCAGATTTTGTAGTCTTCCTCGGTCACTTCCAGCACTGAATCAGTCTTCGAATCATACTTCAGAACTAAAGAATCCTCAATCTGAAAACGAGTTTTCTCAGCCCATTTGTTGAACTCGTCAACAGAAAATGGAACTGCCCATAAATTATTTTCACCGTCTATTACAAACTCTCTTGCTTCAGAACGAACACACAACAAAAACACGACGGTCGAAAATAAAAAAAATAATTTTGAGTGAAGCCATTTTAACACAGTGTGCAGGCAATGTCCGGGACGCGTCAGGGTTGCGGCGAGGATGCAACCTAATTTCCAAGCATTTCTAGGCAATTTCTTGGACACAGTGTGCAAGCCATGTCAGGCGCTTCAGGTACGCAGCCTGATTTTAAGGCATTTCTAGGCAGTTTCTGGAACACGGTGTGCGGGCCATGATCGGGATGTGTCTGGGCCACGGCAAGGACGTATCCTAATTTTCAGGCATTTTTAGCAAGTTTTTGGCCACGGTGTGTAGGCCACGTCCGGGACACCTCCTAGCCGCCGTAAGGACACAGTCGGATCTTAT